CGGCTCTCGGCGTCTCACACTGGCGGCGCGCGCGGCCCCACACCTCCCGAGTTCGCGGCCGGCCTTCTCCCCGCCCCATCGCTTTCTTGTGGAGCCTTGACTCGGTCCACTCCCCTACTTCCGTGTTTTTGTCTCTTGGGCTCCAATTTTACCCTAGCGTTACCCTAGCAATGAGGAAAGCACACTGCTCGGGTGAAATCACTCACCGAATTGACAGCGTCCTGTAGCTGTGTGAGCCGATCCGCCATGTTTCTCTCTCACGTAAAAAGTACGCGAAAGTAATTCCTCGTGCGCGATTGGGTGGCGCTAGGACACGTCGTGTCCAATCACAGGGCTGTATTTCTGAAAGGGGTGGGATCAGAAGTAATTGGCCTGTGGAGAAGGAAGAGACTCAGCAGGGGCAGACTGTATTGAAACTGACAGGACGTGGGGGAGGAGCCGGAAGAGCGGCCGCAGGGGGCGTGCCCGTGGTGGGGCGGGGCCGGGCGAGCTGGTGGACCCGTGGAGCCGGCTGGTGGCAGGAGCTCTCAGTACTGGGCGGTAGCGCGTAGATTCAAACGCACTAGCTGCTTGGCAGGGGAAACTTGAGGCCGTCTGTCCACCTAAGGATTTTATATCCTGAAGCACCCTACGGCACTACGAGTTGGAATGGAAGCGTCTTGACGGTTGTGTGATTGCTGGAGGGAAAATCTGGTAGGGCGTCTTTTGAGAAATTTGGGGGCAGACCAGGAGCCAGTCATCGTGGGGCAAAACTATTGTAATGAAGACCTTCAAAAATGCTCTCTTTTAATTCCATTTTTCCCCACGAACTTTTTGAAGTCCCCTCATATACTGTTCTCGTCTTAGTTAGGTGTTAAACACTGGAGATCCTTGGATTCTGCATTTTTCAGTGATCCCTCTTACCCCCTCCTCCCTGTGTTCTTAGTTGAGATACTGCATCGAAACCCAATAAATTAAAATTAAACAAGTCTGAATTAAAATTCACTAAGCAACGAGGAAGCTCTGGTGTAGGATGCCTCTTCTCTTACTTTGGGGCATAGAGGTGCTTACCCAAGTGGGTGCGTTTTAGCCACTTGCATGAGAAAGATGGGGTAGTCTGTTTCTGTAAGGACTACAGCCTTGGAAACCCTATAGCACAGTTCGACTTTATGCTATAGGGTTGGTATGAGTTGAAATCATCACAATGAGTATTTTTTTGTTAACATCCTACTGCATCTTGTATCCCCCGACCCCCTCCTCTTCTAGTTTCTGAGGCAATGGGTGGTGGTTAGCTCAGATTTATGTCTTTAGGGGGTAGTTTGTACCCAGGTCTAAAAGCTGCCAGCTCAACAAGGCTGCTGGAAAGGTTTGTCAGAGTTTTACCTCACACCTGCCCTGCTCATGTGTGTTCCACTGTTATATCTGAATGTGTTGACCCTGTAGGGCAGAGTAGAACCACCCATAGGGTTTCCTAAGCTGTCATCTTTACCGTAGCAGACCACCAGGTCTTCTACATAGCTGCTCCTAGGTTCAAACTGCTAACCTTTAGTTAGTGGTGTCTCCAAATGCTCCTTAGTTCCCAGTAGTTCCACAGGTTGAAGTCCAGCCAGCTCTGCCTGGTTCTCAGGGTTCTTCATAAGCTGGGTCCAGCTCACAGGTGCAACTCCCTTCCAGTTTGAAATAACCTTCTGTATCAGCCATTATCCCTTAATTTGTGACTCTCTTTGGCTTTGTTAGCCATTTTTAAGGCCACGTACCCTTTAAAACTCATAAAGGCTATAGATACTTTCTTCAGACCAGACTGTCAACATTTTGCAAAGTCATAAAGTATTTTATTAATGCAGCAGTTCTCAACTTGTGGGTTGTGATCCCTTTGGGGGTCAAACAACCCTTTCACAGGGGTTGCCTGATTCATAACAGTAGCAAAATTACAGTTATGAAGTAGCAACAAAAATAATTTTATGGTTGGGGGGGGTCACCACAACATGATGAGCTGTATTAAAGGGTCATGGCATTAGGAAGGTTGAGAACCACTGATTAACGTCTTGAAGTCATAGACTCCAGAAATAACCTGGATTTAATCCGAATAATCAAACACAGTCTTCAAGTATCTAGCTCAGGGCTAGCAGCATGATTGACATTTTATGCTGGAGGATTCTTTGTCGTAGGATGCTGTTCTGTGCCTTGCAGAATGCAACCTCTCTATCCTCTACCCATAAGATGCCAGTAGCAGCCATTGTCCCAGTTATAAGCAAAAATATCAGATATCGCCAGACATTACTAGATGCTTCCTGTTGTTAGATTGTCAAGTTGGTTTGAACTCACAGCAGAAAAACATTGCTCAGTCCTTCACCATCGTCACAATTGTTGTGATCTTTGAGCCAATGTTATATCTACTGCATCAATCCCTCTCCTTGAGGATCTTCTTCTTTTACTGGTGCCTCTCCAGTTTACCGCACAGGAAGTCCTTCTCCAGGGACTAGTCTCTCCTGATAACATGGTTGTGTTAGTCTGGGTTGACTAGAGACACAAATTCATAGACATTCATGTGTATAAGAAAGAGCTATATATAAGAGCAATTGAATATTGAAAAAACATCCCAGCCCAGTCCAGATCAAGCCATAAATCCGGTATTAGCCCATATGTTCAATACCAATTTATAAATTCCTCTTCAGACTCACGAAACACATGCAATGATGCTGAACGCAGGATGATCACAGGCCAGTGGGTAGAAAGTCTTGTGGATACAGTGGCCGTGGAAGCATCTCAGCGCTGGCAGGGGTCTGCACGTGACATCTCCAGCTCTGAGGCTCTGGCTGCCATCAGAGTAGCTTCATGTGTCTTATCAGTAGAGAGTGTCTCAGAGAGTGAGCATCTGTCCTGCCTCCAACAAGCTATTTTATTTCCTTAGCACCTCCAAATGAGGTCATCAAATTGCGATCCAACTTACAAGCTAAACTCCACCCCTTCACTCTTAAACCTCAAATTGACAACACATTATATAACTACCACAATGTCCAAAGTACATGAGATGAAGCCTCACCATTCTTGCCTCTAAGAGCATTTGGCTGTGCTTCTTCCAAGACTGATCTCTATGTTCTTCTAGCAGTACATGATATTTTCAGTATTCTTTGCCAGCATTGTAATTCAAATGCATCGATTCTTCTTCCATCTTGTTTACTCGATGTCCAACTTTCACATGCTTATAAGATGATTAATACCATGGTTTCTGTCAGGTGCACCTAAGTCTTCTTAGTCAATATGATTAATATCACATGCAAGAAAAATTTTGCTGCAGGTCATTCAACAATGGCTGCAGCAGTACATCGACAGGGAGCTGCCAGAAATTCAAAGCACAATTAGAAGATGTGAAGAGTACTATCATTGCTGATGTCAGATGAATCTTGCTCAAAGCAGAGAATACCAGAAAGGTGTTACTTGTGTTTATTGACTATGCAAAGGCATTAGACGTTGTGGATAAAAACCAACTATGAATAGATAGCATTCAGAAGAATTGGAATTCTAGAACACTTATGTTCCTGCAGAACATGTACAAGAAGCTGTCATACACACAGAACAAGGGAGTGCTGCATGGTTTTAAATCAGGAGAGGTAAATGAGAGCTAACAACAATGAGTACAAAAATGAAGAAAATGTTCTAAAATTTATTGTGATGATTGCATAACATTTAAATATAGTCAAATCACTGAATTTTATTGTGTGTGAACTGTATGTCAATAAAATTGTTAAAATTTCAGGAAAGGTGTGTGCCAGGATTGTATCTTCTCATATTTATTCACTGTGCATGCTGAGCAAATAATCCAAGGAGTGGAACTTTATAAAGAAGGTGGCATCAGGATTAGAAGAAGGCTAGTAAACAACCTTTGATATGCAGATGACACAATCTTGTTTGCTGAAAGTGAGGAGGACTTGAAGCACTTGCTGATGAAGATCAAGGACAGCAGCCTTCTGTATGGATTACAACTCAATATAAAACCAAAAGTCTCACTACTAAGTTGTTGTATTAGTCTGGGTACTTTAGAGAAACAAATCCACAGAAACTCATGTATAAGAGAGAGTTTTATATAAAGGTTAAGTGTGCATCAAGAAAACATCC